TGTCTGATATAAGTAGCCATCATGTTCCCATAGTCTTCGTCGTGTATTGATGTTGTAACCTGCTGTCGGTGAGTCTAGTCTGTTCATGCCACGTCAAGTCTGTTATGCCAAGTCAAGTCTGTTCTAGTCAAGTCTGTTCATGCCTCATCAAGTCAAGTCAAGTCAAGTCTGTGTCTCTAGTCTTCGTCTGTTTGGATTATGTTTGGATGTTTGGATCACTGCAAATAAACTGCACCTGGGTTCTTCACTACGCTCGCCTTCAGTGGACTGATTCGTTACAATATCAGAGCAATTTCACATTACTCAGTATTAGTTTCAATACCACAATGATATTATAAGCACTTAAAGTTGGGCCATAAACTGCTTTCATTTGGTCGGGATATTTCCTAAACAGTTGCATTATTCATGAGCTTTACATATTTTGCAAATTGTAGAATTAGTAGATCCAATTACGTGAATTAGTTTTGATTGTTTAAATGAATAATTTTTCAATGTGTGATTTTTTTTTTTTTTTTCAATTTGTATAAATTTTTTTACAACAAATACACTACTGCTCAAATGTTTGGGGTCAGTAAGAGTTTTATTAAAAAATCTATTCATCAAGGATGAGAGTAAGTGACAGTAAAGACAATCAACATTTTAGAATGATTTCTAAAATCATTCTAAAATGCTAAAAATTAGGGATGCACCGATACTACTTTATCCAGTACTCGCCCGATACCGATACTTTTATTTTTGATACTTGCCGATACCAAGTACCGATACCAATATTTTTATTGCATTTGTAAATTTTTAAAATATTGGGTACAGAAACCAAAAGAGTATGTATAATGTTAGTTGGTTAACTTTATTTATCAAATAGATACAGTCAAACCTAAATTTATTCAGACACCTTCAACATTTCTCACATTATCACAGTTTATTCACTATAGTTTAGAAAATGGTAATAAAATATAACAAGAACTCAGAGTTAAACTGTGTCAGAACAAATTCAGCTTGATAATGTTAGATAACTTTGATAGAAAGGTATGTAAAAGATTACGATCAACCAAAAATTATTCAGACAGCTGATAGTATGACAGTATTTACACAACTAGCAATACTTAGTCGGGCAACCCTTAGCCTTAATGACAGCCTGTAGTCTCCTGGGCATGCTGACATCCAGCTTCATGCAAACCTGAACTTCAATGTTTTTTCCTAGACTCGGTCTGAATAATTTTTGGTCCCAAATGTGTATCAATTTTACTGGTAGTCCACTGTATGAAAAATGAGTATGATTTGTCACAGTTTAGTTTATTTTGCTCAGCTCGCGCACATCAGCTATACAGGCGTTAATACTGAATGTTTAACATTATATTCATTGCATACATATACTTCGTAGACATCCTTAATCTCTAATAACTCCATTCTGCTGTCTGTTGTTCTGTTGTCGGTGTTTCATTGTCTGAATATGGCACTTATCACATGCTGTGTGGTATCGGCGTTTGGTATCGGGGCATTTTAACGAGTACAGGAGCTCAGTATTGGGCCCGATACCGATACCAGTATCGGTGCATCCCTACTAAAAATCAAGCTTTGCCATAACAGGAATAAATGATATTTTAAAATGTGTTCAAATCGATAACAATTATTTGAAATTTTAATAATATTTCACAATTGGTGTTTTTGCTGTGTTATTGTCACAACCTTTGTCAACATAATAAATGTATTTTTAAAATCCTTAAAAATTCTTAACTGTCCCAAACTTTTGAGTGCTTGTGTATATGATGGTAAATATTGCTGTGCATTATTGTTGTTCTAATTGTGCATGCAAATGAAAATTACTAAATATTGTTTTTCCTTGATTTTTTGTGAAAAAAACATTCACTGATAATTTGAACTAGATGCTGTTCAGTGCTTTGGTTCTTTAAAGATGAAACATTTTTAATCCACTTGGCAGTAACTGTTTGATTGAAATGATGGTTTCACTAATCACTCAAAAAAAAAATCAAATATATTTTTAGCTATATCACTCATCCTTAAAAATCAACTAATTAAAAAAAGTAATTAAAACAATGGCATGAAGCCTTCAAGTATTTATTGATGAAGTAAACAAATAATTATTCAAATAAACAGTTAAACATGATATACATGCTGAGCAGTGAGTGATTTTCTCTTTTTGGTCAATATTGTTGTTTGTTTGATTATTATATTCATACCATAACAGACAGCAGTAGGTTTATCAGGCTGCATTTATACAGTGTACCAATCTGATATTTTGACACAAATCTGATTTGTTTTCATACCGCATGTTTACATTCACTGAAGACAAACCGAGTGTGTTTACACCAATACCTTGCCAAGACGAGAAATTAACAAAGAAATGCATCTGACAGCTTACAAGTGCAGGTGCATTACCGTGAGGCGCAGCCACTCTTTACAGTGCACACATACAAATACACATGTGAGTGCTCACCTGCAGCTGCCTGTCAGTCACGCATTAAATTGAGTCAGCACTTGTACTACTGATATTTTATTTTATTTTTTGTACTTACTTGGTACCAAAATATGAGTACGTTTGGCATCCCTACTGCTCAGTGGTGTAGTCGGGGCCATACACATTTATACACCATATTTGCTCAGGGCTGTTTGTGTATTAGGACTTCAAAGGATCAATATTTGCATATACCCTAGGTGTACCCACTTGTTTTGTTGCTTGGCAAGTCCATAATCTACTGTAATGTTAGCTTCCCCTTTAACTGTGTCCCATGAAAATCATGATTCTATGTTCTAATTTGTGCATTGTCACGTCTATCATTTTACCTTTTCCCGCCAATCAACAACTGAGTGCATGTGTGAACTGTACTGAGAAAAAATTCCACTCAGTGCCACTCAGTGTTTTAAGCGGCACTGAGCGGGGTTCTATCAGTGCAGTGGACACTTATTTCCTTAAAGGGGTCCTATTATGCTTTTTCACTTTTTTAATTTTAGTCAGTGTGTAGTGTGTATGTTTGGGCATAAAGTAGGCTATAGTCCTATAGATAGTATAGTAGGGCTGTCATGATTCCTCGATTAAATTCGAGCACTCGATTATAAAAAATCCTCAAATGTATTTTGCCTGTGTCGATTAACTGGCAAAATACCGGAAATGGTGCATTCCACGGACGAGAATCCATGAAAAGCATTATCAGAAGGTTTTCTAAGGCTGCGTGAAATATTAAAACCATTTAAAAAATAATAATAAAACATAGTGCTATTGTGAATTCACAAAGGCTGCGATTCAATTAAATAAATATATATGCGTTGCCGGTTTAATATGCGCTTTATTTATATGCGTGTAGGTTACATGCATTTCAGAGCAGCTTCGTTCACAGTAAATGCTGCTCCACACAAACAGTTATCATTTACATGCGCGGCATCATCTCAAAGTCCATATTTGCATATGCTGAGTCTGAATTGCTTATAACGTTTATCTGGGAATTTATAAGGTAAATAATTTATAAACCTACACCAACACAGGAAAATAGATCACTATCTTTCTAAATACGCTAACGGTTCAGAATCAGAATCAGAATCAGAATGAGCTTTATTGCCAGATATGTTTACACATACGAGGAATTTGTTTTCGTGACAGAAGCATCCACAGTGTAACAGAATGACAGTGACAGAATAAAAAACACAGATAAAGTATTATAGATTAAACGGACATTTAAATTAAAGATTGTTCACTCAATATTAAAAAAGCATTAGATCGCGCAGTAAAATGTAAAAACAATTTTAAATCATTTAAAATCTGTTGTTTGCTTAGGTCTATTTTTATCACAAAAAATTATCAGATTTTTTGATTAATCGGCAGAATAATCGACCGATTACCCGATTACCGAAATAATCGTTAGTGACAGCCCTATAGTATAGTCCTTAAAATAAAGTGTTACCTGATTTTCTTATTACTACCTGTGTATTTTGGTGATTATCAGAGTATTATAACGGTACAAAAGCACAAGATTTTTTTTTTGCTTTGGTAGGTTGGTATATTAACATTACACTCTATAAGTTAATAAAATATACTGTAAATTTAGTTCAATCTGTAAAACCTAAAATGTTCCTACTGTATTTTTTTCCACTGCTGCCAGTTTTTTATTGCAATTTTTTTGTTTACAGTGTGGGAAATGTCGTTTTTACCAGCTGCTGGCCTCGCGGTCCCCATCCTGCATACTGCAGATGAGCGTTTCGCACTTCTGGAGGGTTCAGAATCCACGTTTCCCTGTAAAAGAGAAGCAAAGCCATTACTAATCAACTAGTTGGATACTGCATGACAAGTAGACTAGTTGACCATCCTGACCCAGACAGACAGACTGGCAATCAGTCAAACATTCATGTCTTCAGAGGGCTAACAGCGCACACTTCCTCTACGTGGTGCAGTGAAGCGTGTGCCAACAGCTATTGATTCCATCACGGTGTACTACACAGCCCAACACAACAGCACGGCGAATAAAGCACCATGAGGGAATTCCTGCGGCAGGAAATCTAACAGTGATAGTATATCCCAGTGCGCTGTTAAATCCGGCCGGGGCAGCAGCCCAGCGCTGTGTCAGCATCTGTTCCGTCTGACAGAGCTCATAAATATAGATGCTTTATTCTGCTGCCGTGTGCAATGGTTCTGTGCACTGCAGGCCCAAAAATTACAGGTGACACGAGCTGTACGTCTCTGTGCTAATCACGGGACAGACAGGCTGGGAATTCGTTGGTAGGACCACAGGATAGCAGTATGGAAAGATTCAGTTCTCTGAATGGCTTCGACATGTGACGTGAGCAGCGAAATGCTGCATCAATGTTTTCCTTGGTTTATAATGACAAATGGACTTTGTAAACTAATGCGACTGTTATACGAGCTCAGCGACTTACGGAGTTTCCAGACTGCAAATGATGTAGTCCGCAGTGAAGGAGTGCTCGTAAACCTGAGAGTTTGAACAACACAGAGACAAACAGAGACAGAGAGAGAAATTAAATTGTGGAAGAACAGCAGTTACTGCCACTACAAGCACCAAAAAGCTTTATTAGCAATAACGTTTGCGAGGCGATGCATTACAGTGACATAGCAGAGTTGAAGGGTGATTTTAGCCACAATGTGAAGAGGACAGATATTTTACCATTGTATAGTCACAGTAACACACCACCTCAAATGGGCTTTTGGATTTTAAAACAAAAGCAAAATGTAAAAGACACCAATGTTTAATAAATTATACATTTAGTATAATTACAGTAAAAAGCAAAAATACAGTAAAAATACAGTAAAATTTCACATGCTGTAAATAAATAAATAAATAAAATAAATAAATAAATAGAGAGAAGTATTCAAATCATTAGGTCTGAATTGCATTTAATTCTAAAATGCAGATCTATTACCTGATTTAAAATGTGATTCGGACATAATGACCTGAATATCTATCTATCTATCTATCTATCTATCTATCTATCAAATCAAATCAACCAACAAACCAACCAACCAACCAATCAATCAATCAATCAAGAGCCAACAATATTTATAATATACAATGGCAGGTTTATTAGACAAGTAGATTAGAAAGCATAGGAAAAGGATCAACACAGAGAAAGTGTTTATTATTATTTCCGTATATGAAATGTATTAAAATATTGAAACTTTATTTATTTATTATTATTATTTTTTTTACATTACAAGGCTAGTTTAAAGTTGCAAAATGTTATGATATACCCCCCCCCCATAACTATTGTAATTAATATTTTACAGTAATTTGTAATAAATTAATGTTTTTGAAATTATGTATATTAATAATTTATGATAAAAAAAAACTTCTCACCTTGAAAAATATATTGAAATATTTGTAGCATTCATCTGGTTATTTGCATATAGTATTTGAAAATAAGGATTCATTCATTAATAATGAATATTACTTTTTAAATGATGGTTACACAACATGACATACTAATAATTTAAGTTAGCAAAACTTTATTTATTTATTTATTTATGTTTACTTGTAATATAAACTATTTATTTATATTTTATTTTTTAAACATTTATTTATTTTTTTAAATAACAAATATAAAGGCTAGATTTTGTAATTATTTTTTTAATAAATAAATAAACAAATAAATACTAAACAACTCTACAGTACATTAGCCTTTCTGTAGGCTGCATCTTAGTGCATTAATATAGAATTCAACTAATGTGTGGTCACAGGTGTTCTTCAAATATGACACGTACAATCAGATTTCAGAGGCAGAACTGACTCATTTCATAAAATCCTAATCCATCGTTTCTGAAGAAGGCAGGAGCGCTGCTATATCACTCTTAGGACAGTGTCAACAGCTGTCCATGAGCCAGAGGGCTGACCGCAGCATATGCTCACAGCTGACATGAGCTTGACACGTGTGCTGTAGCGGAGCTGTTAATACTGTCAAAGATTAACATTCAACACCTGTACTCAGCACCTCCCTCTGTCTTACAGATGCAGAGAGATGGAGAGCTCCTTTGTGAAGGGCAAGCAGCACCATGACAGAGTTTGAGAATGAGGGGCGTTATGAACGTGTGTGTGTGTATGTGTGTGTGTGTGTGTGTGCGTAAGCATAGGCAATGACAGCTGGGGGACGAGGTTGTCATCCATCAAGGTGATGTTGGGACGGGCACTGAATAACAAACTAGAGGCAGTGCTCACACTCTTTTCTTTGGCTCACTCTTTCTTGTCATGTGTGTGTGAAGTGCTCTGGTGTCACTGTCCCAGCGCTCATGACACCTTCTCCTCCGTCTCTTCAGCTCTGTACGACAGTTGCCCTGATCAAACTAACTCGTCACCTGCGGTGTCCGACTCTAGCGTCCTTCAGTTTGTGCTTTCATCATTTCTTTGCACACTAAAGCTTTAAGTGCAGTCTGTATGAAGACAGTCAGGTTTGTTTGGTTAATGTGGAAGATGTTTCCTGAAATGAGGTGTGCAGCAAATGACTCTGTGTTAGACTGGATATTGTGGTTTGGGTTACTGTCCAACACAAAAAGAAAAGAAAAGATTAAACTGAAAAATAACAATTAATGTCAACAAAATGGTCAATATATATATATATATATAAATGAATATATAAATGGTTACCTCAGTACTTCAGTAGTTCAGTAACATGACATCTTTGACACTGATAATGTACAGTGTATCCAGAAACTATTCACAGCGCTTCAGTTTTTCCACATTTTGTTATGTTACAGCCTTATTCCAAAATGGATTAAATGCTTTATTGTCTTCAAAATTCTACAAACAATACCCCATAATGACAACGTGAAAGAAGTTTGTTTGAAATCTTTGCAAGTTTATAAAAAAAAAAAAAAAAAAAAAAAAAAATAAAAAAAAGTATTCACAGCCTTTGTCATGACACTCA